GTGTGAGATCGACACAAGTGGGGACATTGTGGTGCTGACCGTACAGTGCGAAGAACGGTGACATGCCTGTGGACGAGTGGTGCGTGTTGTTGTAGGCGAACTCGGCCATGCTCAGCTTCTTGTCCCATGCGGCTGCGTCGTGCATCGTGATGCTGCGAAGAATCTGCTCCAAGGTCTGGTTCACACGCTCGGTCTGTCCGTCTGTCTCTGGATGGTACACAGACGACATGGCTAAGCAAGTCCCAAACAGTGCGAAAAGCTGCTTCCAGAACTTCGAGGTGAATCTAGGGTTGCGGTCGGACATTATGGAATCTGGAACCCCGTGCAGACGGACTACGTTATCTACGAACAGCGTCGCGGCTTCCTCTGCTGTCACCTTGCCGTGCGTGGGGATGAAGTGCGCTGCTCAAGAGAACTTGTCGACTACAACGAAGATGGCGTCGTGACCCCTAACTGTGCGCGGTAAAGCCATGATGAAATCCATGGTGACTACCTGCCAAGGGCGGTCGGGCGGTGGAATCGGCTGCAAGAGTCCTGCTTTGCGCTGGCGAGAGGACTTCGTACGCTGACACGTGTCGCACGAGCGAGTAATCCTCTACGTTTGCTGCAAGCCCTGGCCAGTAGTATGTGCGACTAAGCGTCTTAGCCGTCTTATCTGCTCCGAAGTGACCTGCGCTAACTACGTCATGCGCCTCTGAGAGAAGGAGCTGTCGAAGAGGGCGGTAGGCTGGAACCCAAATCCGTGTGGTACCCTTCCGTATTTAGACACTACCCTGCACCTCTGCTCCTGCGGGCGGCTGCTGTGTGAAGTCGGGATCTACTGTGTAACCGTGCTCGAAGAGTGCTGTGAGAAGTGGATGGCCGGCAGTGACTGTGAGGCTAGCGAGCTGGCAACTAGGGCGAGTGAGCGGATCTGCTGGGTTGCGCACGCCTGGCTTGTACTCTATCCTGTAGTGGAAACTCCCCTCCATTAACTCCATCCATCTAGCCTGGCGACGACTCAGCTGCGGCTGCGACTTGAGAAAGCGAAGCGAACAGTGGTCCGTGCGTATAACACTCTCTGCCCCCTCTAGATAGCACCTCCACACCTTATACGCATGGATGATCGCGAGCGCCTCCTTGTCGTGTATGGGATAGTTCAACTCCGCTCCCCTAAGCTTACGCGACTCGTACGCGATCGGCTGCAACCCGCGCCCCTGGTCTTGAAGAAGCACTGCTCCTATGGCTTGATCTGAAGCGTCGGTCACTACAACGTATGGGCGAGTGGGATCAGGGTACGACAGTGCTGGTGAAGACGTGAGCGACTGCTTCATCTGCTCGAACGCCTTCTGCTGCGCTAGACCCCAAAGAAAATCTACGCCCTTCCGAAGTAGGTCGGTGAGTGGACTAGGGATGGAAGCGTAACCCTGAACGAAACGACGGTAGTAATTCGCGAATCCGAGAAAGCTCTGCAACTCCTTGACTGAGGTCGGTGCTACCCAATCCTGTACTGCTGCGATCTTCTTCGGGTCGGTCCGAATGCCACTAGCGGGTACGACATGTCCTAGGAACTCGACCTCAGGAAGAAAGAACTCGCACTTTGACTGCTTCGCATACAGCTTCTCCCTTTGCAAGACCTCAAAGACCCTCTGCAAATGTTGCACGTGCTCCTCTTTTGACTTGGAGAAGATCAGGATGTCGTCTAGGTAAACGACAACGAACGAACCTAGGAACTCTGAGAGGACGGTGTTCATGAGCGTCTGAAACGTCGCTGGGGCGTTGGTCAATCCGAACGGTAGAACCCTAAACGCGTACAACCCCTGCTTCGTACGTAACGCCGTCTTGTGCTGGTCCTCTAGAACTACGCGAATCTGGTGGTAACCCGAACGAAGGTCGATCTTGGAGAAAACTCGAGCGCCCTGCACTGCATCTAGGAGATCCTCTACTCTCGGCACCGGAAACCTATTCTTGACGGTGGCGGCGTTCAGTGCGCGGTAATCTATGCACATCCGTAACCCTCCGTCTTTCTTAGGCGCGAAAAGGATCGGTGCTGCCCAAGGCGATCTAGATGGCTGTATGAAACCCTGCGCGAGAAAATGTCTAACCTGCTGCGTCATCTCCTCTGTCTCCGCTAGACTCAACCTCCACTGCGGCTTTGCTACTGGCCTGCTCCCCGGCTCCAACTCTATTTGATGGTCTACTGCTCGGCTAGGAGGTAACCCTGGGGGCAACTCGTCGGGGAAGACGTCTACGAACTCTGCTAATAGTGCACTCACCTCAGCAGGAAGAGTCGCCTTCTCACCAAGTGCTGCACTCCCTCCTTTCACTTCCTTAGCTTCCACCTCCTCAAGGAAAATCGCGAAGATCCGTGCCGCACGCTTCACTAACTGTCGCACACGAACAGCATTAATGATAGCTGTGGATGATGTGGCCCCATCGCTCCACTGTGGCAGCTCTCAAAACTCCCCGTCTACCTTGACGCTGCAGCTTCCCTGAGCCCAATCGAACTGAGTACTAACCGTCCGTAGCCAATCCCTACCAAAGATGAAGTCGTAACCGTCCAGCGTCGCAGAGTCGAAGTCACGCCTAACTATGATCGGCCCTAGCACTATGCGCAACTTGCGAATGACTGGTCCTATGTGAAGAGGCGTCCCATCTACCATACGCGCGTCCTTGAAGTTGACTGCCGAATCCGCTTTGATATGGAGAGGACTAACTAATGAAGAAGAGACGAACGAGTGGATAGCTCCACTGTCTACGAGAATTTTGACTGGAACACCGCGAAGCATCCCTAGAAACACGACTGGACGATCAATAGCGTCTACCGAGTTCGGCGTAGATGACTGCTCTAGAGCTGTCTCTTCTACGTCGGTAGACTTGGCGGGTTCGGAAGCGTCCACACCAGCTAGCGACCCGCTATCTACTGGCGGTCTCCGTTTCCCTGCTGCCGCTCCTTACCTGTTTGACAGCCATAGGTCGACTCATGCTACCTTACCTGTTCCCCGACCTTTCCTCGTTCACCACTGCTGAGGGCCTCATTTCCCACCTGCACGCCACTGACACTCGCTTTCGTGCCGCCCTTTCAGCCGAGTTCTGCGCCGCAAACCCCCCCCCTCGATGTACTTCACTCTCTACTTCCTCGTCACCCGCCTCCCTGGCACTCTTAGCTCGGTCAAGGACCACTTCCTAGCGCTCGACCCCTCCACTCTCACGGTCAACGACTTCGAGAAGCACCTCCTAGCAGCAGAGAAGAACATCTTCGCTGTAGGTGCTGCTCGTGGCACTCCGCGCTCTCCCCTCTTTGAGGGGTGCTCCCCCTCCCCTCTCACCCCCTCCTACGCCTCCGCAGCTGCTGCTCACGACTACCTTGGTGCTGAGGAGGTCGGGGCTACTTCCGCTCCTAGTGGGAAGCGTCGCAGCGGCAGGGGCGGCAAGGGTGGCAGGGGAGGTGGGGGTGGCGGTGGAGGTGGCGGTGGTGCAGGCGGCGGGGGAGGTGGAGGTGGTGGGGGTGGTGGTGGGGGCGGCGGGGGCACTGGGAGCGGTGGAGGTGGCAGCGGCAGCAGTGGGGGAGGGGGGAGCGGTGGTGACAGTGGTGGTTCGGGCCAGCAGCAGTCGCAGCAGTAGCGTCAGCGCCAGACCCCCACTTCCCAGCAGCTTGTTGACTGGTATGCTGGGCATCGGGCTTCTGGGGGTCCTGGTCGCTGCCCCTATATCATTCGCACAGGTCCCCGCGCTGGTCACCAGTGCACAGGGTTTCACACTGAGCAGCGCTGCTTCGCTCGGCTTAGCGACGCCTGGCGCGCCAAGTTTCCTGATGCTACTGAGTTCCCCAACTGGGCAGATCTGCTTAGGCGTGATGTACCTATCTTTGATCTGGACTATGAGGCAATTCTTTCTGCTGTGTATGCATTGACTATTAGTGCTGAGGGTGACTGCTACTTGTGTGTGCCGCCGGATCCTGGTATAGCCCCTGCAGCACTAGGTGCTTGTGAGTCTGCCCCCCCTGGTACTGCGCCTGCACAGGCCTTGCACACCTTTACACTTGACTCTGGTGCTTCCTGCTGTTTCTTTTGCGACACTACCACAGTCACTCCCCTCCCTGCACCTGTTCCTGTCTCACTGGCTGCCCCCTCTGGGGGCCCAGTGCTTGCACGGTCTTCCACTGTGCTTCCGTGTCCGGCGGTCCCATCTGGTGAGTTGTCTGGTCTCCACCTCCTCTCGTTCTCTACGAACTTGGTGAGCAACACTGTCCTCCAGGATGCGGGGGTTGACACCTTCACCCCTGGCCGGCAGCGTGTGGCGATCTGCACGTGTTCCCGGACTGGCCGCCACCTGGCCACGTTCACCCGTGCGCCAGGGTCCAGTCTGTACACCCTCACCACTGCGTCGCGCTCCACCTCTTTGTCTCCCCAGCTACACGCGTCTACTCAGGTAGCTACCCAGTGTGAGTGTCGCCGGCTGTCGCACGACACTCTCCTGTGGCACCACCGCCTTGGTCACCCCTCCCTGCCTCGCCTTTGTAGCATGCACTCTCGCTTCCTGGTCTCTGGTCTTCCTAGGCCTCTGCCTGCCCTCCCTCCCTCGCCTGCGCCACCCTGCATTCCTTGCGTCGAGGGGCGGCAGCGCGCCGCTCCTCACTCCTCCTGGTTCCCTCCCACAGAGGGTCCACTGCAGACTCTCCACCTGGACGTGTGGGGCCCAGCCCGCGTCCGTGGATAGGGCCACGAACGGTACTTCCTGCTGGTCATCGACGACTACACGCGTTACACCACGGTCTTCCCCTTGCAGCGCAAGGCGGATGTCCCTGCTGTTTTGATCCCTTGGATCCGCGCTGTTCGTCTCCAGCTCCGCGAGCGGTTCCACTCGGACTTTTCTATCCTGCGTCTGCACTCTGACAGAGGTGGTGAGTTCTCCTCCGACCTCTTGCAGCCTACGGTGCGGAGCACGGCATCCGTCAGACGTTCACGCTTCCGGCCTCTCCGCTACAGAATGGGGTTGCTGAGCGCCGCATTGGCTTAGTCATGGAGGTCGCTTGTACCTCCATGATCCATGCGGCTGCCCCCCATTTTCGGTGGTCGTTTGCGGTCCAGTACACCGCGCATCAGCTCAACCTCTGGCCCCGTGTCTCCTTGCCGGAGACCTCACCCACAATGCTGTGGACGGGGAAGGTTGGCGATGCGTCGCATTTCCGGGTCTTGGGTGCTCGTGCCTTTGTCCGCGATACCACCGCGGACAAGCTCTCCCCTCGCGCCATTCCCTGCGTCTTCCTTGGCTTTGTCCCTGACGCGCTTGGCTGGCAGTTTTACGACCCCGCCTCGCGCCATGTCTTTCCGTCTCAGGACGTCACCTTTGACGAGTCAGTTCCCTTCTACCGTCTCTTTCCCTACCGCACTGCCCCTCGCCCCCCCCCCCCCCGCCGCTCTTTCTCGCCCCAGGTCCTCCCCAGGTAGACCCCCTCCCCGCGCCAGGTCCTGCTCCCTCAGGTGTTTCTCAGGTAGACCCTCCCGTCCCTGCGCCTACTAAGGTCACTAGTGACTCCGGTCCTGCTGGGAGTGGGGCTGTCCCTGGGGGTGCGGAGCTTGGGGGTGCGCAGCGTGGGGGTGCTGAGTCTGGGGGCGCTGAGCATGAGGGTGCGGAGCCTGGAGGTGCTGAGCCTGCGCGTGGGGAACCTGGAGGTCCTAAGCTTGGGGGTGCTGCTTCTGGGGGAGCTGCGCCTGGGGGTGCTGCGTCTGGTGGTGCTGAGCCTGCGTGTGCGGAGCCTGGGGGTGCTGAGTTTGGGGGTGAGTCGCCTGAGGGTTCTGAGACTGCTGTTACGCGGTCTCTTTGGAGTAGCCGTCTTCGTCCGCGTGTGCCTCTCACCTCCCTGCAGCTGCACAACTGGTACGGTCGCCGTCAGCGTCGCGCTTCTGCACCTCAGGGCTCTACTGCTGGGGGTTCTTCTGCTGGCGTCACTGGAGCTGGGAGTGGTGTTGGTCCTTTGCCTACTGGAGGTGCTGGTGTCGCTGGTCCCGGAGGTGCTCGTACTGGGGGTACTGGAGCTGCTGGGGCTGGCGGTGTTGTGTCTGAGGGTGCTGCTGCTAGTGGCACTGTGGCTGGAGACCCTGAGACTGGAGGTGCCGGTTCTGGGGGTGCTGCAGCAGGTGGAGCTGGTGCTGAGGGTAGTGGAGCTACTGGAGGTGCTGGAGCTGTTGAGGGTACTGGAGCTGCTGGAGGTGCTGAAGCTGCTGAGGGTACTGGAGCTGCTGGAGGTGCTGGAGCTGCTAAGGGTACTGGAGCTGCTGGAGGTGCTGGAGCTGCTGAGGGTACTAGAGCTGCTGGAGGTGCTGGGGCTGCTGAGGGTACTGGAGGTGCTGGAGGTGCTGGGGCTGCTGGTGCTGGTGGCACTGCACAACCACGCCTGTTCTTCGCCCCGCCGTCTCCGTCGTCTCAGCCACCGCCTGACTCTGCACTTCGCCAGGTTCTCAGTCTCCCCTTGTCTACTGGTCTTCCGTTACAGCCTGGGTCACCGCTGCCTGCTCCTTCTCCGTACACAGAGCAGACTGGGGGCCTTGCTCAGCGTTGTGAGCCTGCGTTGCGTCCTGTCTCACCTGTTCGCTCTGGTCGTTCGAGTCGTCGTGTTCCTCGTCAGCGTCAGCCAGCTGTCACCGGCCCTCCCCTTGTAGTCGGTCGTCCTTCCTCTCCGCCGTCGCGTGTTCACCTGCCGTCCCCCCCTATATCCTCTCTGCCTGTCGTTAGTGACCCTGCGTCTGACCAGTTTCGTGCTGAGCACCCTACTGTCACGCGTCTGCTAGCCACTGTTGTCACCGACCCGTTGTTTGAGTCGGCTGCTGCGTCTGCCTTAGTCGCTAAGCTTGTTGACTTTGCTGCTGCCTGTCGTCTAGACTATGCCGCTAGTCTTGTTGCTGAGTCTGAGTCTGTCTGTCCTCCATCCGTTGGTGGTGAGTGTGCTCTTGGCACGGACGTCCTTGAGGACAGGCAGGAGGACCTTGAGTGTCTTGCAGCCGCTGCGCCTCATCTCGTGTCCATGCTGCTTGCCCCTGAGGGAGACCCGGATGCTCCAGACATCCCGACCCCGCGCTCTTACGCTGAGGCGATCGCGGGTGAGTACTCCTCTCAGTGGCAGACAGCCATGGACGCAGAGATGGCATCCTGGAATTCCACAGGCACCTACGTCGACGAGGTTCCCCCTCCTGGGGCGAACATCGTCAGTGGCATGTGGATTTTCAGGGTGAAGCGGCCGCCGGGTTCTCCGCCTGTCTTCAAGGCTCGTTACGTTGCTCGAGGTTTCAATCAGCGAGAGGTAGTTGACTTCTTCCAGACCTTCTTCCCCACCCCGAAGATGACCACTCTTCGGGTGCTGCTACACGTTGCCGCTCAGTGTGACTACGAGCTTCACTCTCTTGACTTCAGCACAGCTTTTTTACAGGGCAGCCTGCACGAGGAGATCTGGCTGTGCCGCCCTCCTGGCTTCACTGGGTCGTTCCCTCCTAGTACCCAGTGGAGCCTCCGACGGCCGGTGTACGGTCTCTGCCAGGCGCCACGTGAGTGGCACGACACACTGAGGACGACACTTGCGGCTCTTGAGTTCGCGCCTTCTACTGCTGACCCGTCGCTGTTTCTGCGCACCGACACTTTGCTGCCGCCGTTCTACATCCTCGTGTACGACGACGACTTGGTCTTTGCCACTGCTGACACAAAGGCTCTCGCCCTGGTGAAGTCGGAGCTGCAGAAGAGACACATGTGCACAGACCTGGGTGAGCTGCGCAGCTACCTTGGCTTGCAGATCACCCGGGACAGAGCACGCCGCACCATCACACTGGCTTAGTCACACATGGTGCAGCAGGTCCTTCCGCGCTTCGGCTTCACCTGGTCCTCAGCACAGGCGACTCCTCTGGCTACAGGTCACTCGCTCTCAGCTCCACCTTCGGACGAGTCCGTAGAGCCGAGTGGTCCTTACCCAGAGCTAGTGGGCTGCCTCACGTACCTGATGACCTGCACTCGTCCTGACCTTGCGTACCCTCTTGGCCTTCTGGCTCGCTACGTGGCTCCTGGTCGGCACCGAAAGGTGCACATGGATGCTGCTAAGAGGTTACTGCGCTACTTGTGCAGTACATCGGGCATGGGGCTCCTGCTTGGAGGGCGGGGTCCAATTGTCCTCACTGGGCACTCAGACGCTTCTTGGGTTGAGGACCAGGCTACACAGCGGTCGTCATAGGGTTACTCGTTCAACCTTGGCTCCGGCTCTGTTTCTTGGCGGTCTACACGCTCGTCTTCTGTTCTCAGCTCTAGTTGTGAGGCTAAGATCTACGCCACAGCCATGGCTGCACACGAGTTACGCTGGCTCACCTACCTGCTGACCGACCTGGGAGAGCGGCCTCGTTCTCCTCCAGTTCTGTACGTAGACAACAAGGCCGCCATTGCATTGTGTCAGGAGCACAGACTGGAGCACAGAACGAAGCACATCGCTCTGCGTTACTTCGTGTCTCGAGAGTTGCAGTAGCGGGGTCAGCTTCGCCTTGCTCAGGTGGCCACTCGGGCCAACACTGTTGCGCTTCCACCTGGTGATCACCAGCGTTTCTGCACTTTGTTAGGCCTTGTGCCCATGCTTCCTCACTTGCTATAGGCTTTGTTTGTACTGGGATCTATATGTATACCTGCATGCTTGCTCTTGTAGGTAGAGATCACTGTGCTGTTGTTGTTACATATATATCTCTGCATTTGAACTGGCCTTGTGGCCTTTTGCTTGTGCTGAGACTGCGTGGTGATGTTGTGATCCACGCTGAGCTTGCTTTGCACTTCCTGCCTGGCCTTGTGACCCTCCGTTCTCCCCCACTTTGCCTATGGGGGTGTGTGAAACATATGTTTATATGTTTTAGTTTAGGTAGGCTTTAGTGTGGTACTCACTGTGGGGTACAACCCCTTAGGTTTTACTTTTGTACCAAACTTCTCGATCGTTGAACATTTCCCTTTGCCTTAGTCTCGACACTTCTGTCTCTCCCCGTCGGCCCTTCACCCTCTGTCTCTCCACCAGTGTCCTTCCCCCTCTGCCTCTCCCCATTTGTCCTTCCCCCTCTGTCTCTCCCCCTCTGTCCTCCCCCCTGTTCCTCCCCCCTCTGTCTCTCCCCTTCTGTCCTTCTCATCTCCCCCGCCCGCTCCCTTCCCGTCCCCCGCCCCCCCAATCATTCTTTCACTGTGACACCATCCCCCCCTCAGCTGTCCATCCCCATGTGTCCCTCCCGCTCTGCCCCTCACATCAGTATGCACTCACTGCAGCTGGAAGGAGCGAGGGCGTATGGGGGAGTTGCTACACACGATGGTGTCGATGGCGATGCGGGTAGTGGCGATAAGGACAAACACTTCCCAATTGGGGTGGCGGAGGCGACGACGGGAGGCGAGGGGATCGAGGAGCAAATGGGGTAGCGACACATGCACGTGACGTCGGCTTCAGCTAGTGATATACGGAAGATCGCGAGTGATGGTTGAGCACGTGACGAGGGGAGGAGTGCGCGTAACGGGTGGAAGCGCGCGTAACGTGGGGAGGATAGCGCATAATGAGTGGAAACGCGCGTGACGAGGGGAGGAGAGCGCGTAACGAGGAGAAGCGCGCGTGACGAGAAGGCACGTGCGCGACGCAGCGGAAATGCGTGTGACGAAGGGAAACGCGCGTGACGAAGCGTCATGCGGATGACTATGGGTGGCGCATGACGAGGCGAAGCATGGAATCCCAGGCAGGCGCAAGTGACGAGGGTAGGCGCGAATGACGAGGACAGGCGCGGGTGGCGAGGGGGAGCGCAGGTGAAGTCGCATGCTAAACGTGGGGTAGCATCGTGAGCACTCGTTTGTGACTCACGTTCCGTGTGAGTAACGCGAAAATGTATGTAAATATCGTTTGTCCAGCTATTGGCGAAACAGCATGAGTGACGCCAGTTGCCGTAAAAAACGCGGTCAGGGGAACTAGCTGATGCCGCACTGGCTTTCTACTTACGCGAGGGACTAGGCCGATCATGAGTACTACTAAGTGTTCAAGATATGTGAGAGTCAAACAGTGGGCCAACCTGAGCGACGTTTGGTTCTGTTTTGCGATGATGCACAAAAGCCAATGAGCATAGAGTGTTGCTAGGCGTTGTCCCAGAGTCGCGAGAGTTTCCTCAAACAAAGTAGGGTAACCCTGTTTTTTTCGATTTCAAGTTCAAGAATCTTGAACTTGAAAATAACCATGCTGTACTCGGGCTTTAACTGGACAACCCTCAGTTTCACCATCGCACTAGTACCATTTGCCATGCCTGCCATCCCTACACGCGTCAGGACCAAGGAAAGGGAAAGCAGTTAGGGAGGACGTCGTCAGAAAGCGTGAATCAAACCGTGATCTGTGAACCTTTGGCAGTGCAAATAGAACAAACTTGATTCACGGCAACGCTGGTGCATGGATTCTGGAGATTTGCTGGGGGAATAGACCTCGTTGTGATGTGACGACTGATAGAATGCCCCCACGGCCGGACGAAATGGATTCACTGGCCATTCACAGCAGGTCTAGCTTCAGTCGAGGTCGTTTTGCCTACAAAATAAAATATGCAGTGTAATAGTGTTGCATCTACAATATAGAAGCATGGCACTAGGAACATCCCAACCTAAAGCGTCATCATACACAACCCTGGATTAGTCAATAGCTGCCAATCGGCCTGCTTGGTGCCACTCTACCGCTGGACTGGACATCTGCTCAGTCAGCGCGCCTGTGTTGGCAGCACAAAAATAAACAGCTCACATGACCTCAAGAATAGCCTTTAAAAATTAAGGCAGCTCCATACTGGAATGCACCCAACCGCCAGGAGTCTTCAAACGTTCGGCTGCCCCAGAATTGCCATCCTGCAGACCGTGCTTGTTCAGCTGCCCCAGCTCTTTGATTCCGTGCTCTCCGTTCTTCCGTGCTGCTCTTACTTCCTCCGGCTCTCTGCCCAGAAGATTTAACTGCAATCTCAAGCCATCCCCGCCTCTAATCGAAAGAAACCCAATAGATAGTTACATCTGTTAGTGCTGTATCCAGCCCTGTAATACCTGCCATACCATTCCAGAGCTCCCTACCTGCCCCTCCCACCCCCCCATCCCCACGTGCTTACTGACACCTTGTGCCTGACCTTATCTCAGCTTCGGTTTTAGCACCCGCGATATAAGGTGGATGGTGAGAGACAGCCCCCGGTAGTAGTTCTTCTCTATAATCACAGCTGGAGGACCAGCCGCCCCTTGCAGCCACACCAGCGGCCACTTGTTGCTGTTCATCTTCGTTATAGTCAGCCCGTTAATGGTCGTGACCTTACTGTACCGCATCAAGCCTTGCAGATCCTCGTAGCTGTACGTCCCGTTGAGAAAGTGGTAACGCCGAACCTTGCGAAGTTTCGCCTTGCCCATCCGGTGCGAGCGAGTGTATGCGAAATACCCGTTAACAGGAAGAAGCGCGGTAACCGGGCCATTAACGCCACGAGCCTCCATCACTGAAAGAATGAGGATGACGGCAGACAGAGGCAAGGGGAAAGAAGAGCGAGACAGAGGGAAGAGAGACAAGGGAAGGAGAGAGCATGAAATGGAGCAGAAAGTTCAAGCGGCAGAAAGCGCAGGACTGCAACTATGCGGAAGTGAGAAACACTCTCACTTGTAAGGCTGTCATACACTACGTGGATGCGGCGCGAAGAGAAAGCCGCAGGAACGCGCGGTGTGCTGCGCTGTGCTAGAACGAGCTATGCTAGGAACCATCTTCAAACTTCGCACGACATGGAATGGAGTCGCCTATCGACGTGCATTTATGGCTTGTCTTTCGACGTATAACAATACTAATACGTCCCCGTTTGACCGAAGACATGAAGTTGCTCGAGCTTGTAGCACATGTAGCTCGAGCTTTACAATCCGACGAATTGCGATAATTTTCGCGTCTTTTGCGACCTTGTGCGCGCCCAAAATTTACGAATCGCGTGCTTTGTCCTACTTGCTGGGACTCGCGAAGCGACTTGTAAGCGAGCTGGTAGTTCGAGTGTCACGCGCACCTCTCAATACATACTTGCTAACCCGACGACTTACGGAGGATGATCAAGCGCGAAGTCGGACGAGCTGAGCAGGATGTCGTTGTGGTCGGTCACCATGTTGAACGCGCGCGCGGAGTCCATCCGCGTCACGTGCTTGATCCACCGAGCGTACAAGCTTCGGACTTTCGGAGCTTCTTTATCGTGAAGCCGGGTGAGTAGAGCAGAACGCCGGTGTTCGCGGCGCCTGCCTCGCTGAACCCGCACACAGTTCACGCAGCGATTCGCGAAGCAAACTCTTTGCAAGCTTGTGACTTACGGAGTTTCTCGAGCGTGAAGAAGAGCAGAGCAGAATTTCGGTGTACGCGTCTACCTTGTTAAGCGCGCACCCAGTTACTACGGGTGACATGCTCTTCTTAATCGCAGCGCGACTCGCGAAGCAGTCTATTTACAAGCTTGTGACTCACGGAGTCACTCGACCTTGTAACCCGGCGAGTATAACACAATGCTGGCGTATGTGCCCTCCTTGTTCACCGCGCGTGCAGTTTCTTACGGGTCACAAGCTCTTCTTATAACACAGCGCGACTTACGGAGTTGCTCGAGCTTGTAACCCGGCGAGAAGAACAGGATGCCGGCGTATGTGGCCACCTTGTTGACCGCGCGCGCAAAGTCCTTCCGCGTCACCGCTCGCGCCTGCGGTAACGCGCTAGCCGCCAAGAGCGCGAGGGGGAGGATGAGGAAAAGCGGTGAGGTGAAGATATGATGACGTGGTTGATTGCCGCGACGACGGCTTGAGCATTGCACAGTCCGCGACGCCATTGAGCTGGGAGTGTCCGTCGATTTGCGAATCGGACGGTGTGGGACTGTCGTGAGAAAGGAAGTTGATCGGGATGGATAACGTCGCAAGGAACGTGGAGGGTACGGATCCAACACTGCAACGCTAAAGCTACTACCTTGAGATCTGAGACGAGTGAGTAAAACGCTGCAACATCGTCTGCAATTAGCATCGGCAAGTGAAGCTGTGTGTCATCCTCTTTTCACTGGATTTGAAGTCCCTGTGGAATGTTCAGATAAGGAAACATGGTGCGTGAGAGTGGCAAAGGAAAGGGCAGATTTTCCTGTCCAGATCCACTGCCAGTACCATATCATCGAGATGTGGGTGAGAAGGGAGCAAGACAGAGAAGCGCTGATCAAGAGTGGGCTTTGAACCTCCAGTTCGAGATCAAGTACGGTACTTCGAGTTTTGATGGGTTTCTAGAACGTTTAAATACGTTTAAGATGTAAATCTATGTCCATCACCCCCTCAAATCCACCAGGCAGAACTGGGTTCTGGTTTTCTGTCACCCGACATGGCGGCTGTGTACATCCAGCTCCACAAAACCAAATCGCGCGAACATGGTTGGTTCAAGATCAGGATAATCATCCAATTAGAAGGCAGCGGGAGAGTGTTTGACCAATACGATTTTGCCATTAGCGCCTCACCACTTTCCACCGCGGCTTGAAGAATACCATCAGTGGCGCGACTCGTTCGACGTGATCCCGTGTCGGTGTTTGGACCAATACCGACGCGTAAATGTTGCTTTGCTGGAGCCAGAAGAGCCATTGTCTGTTCTTCTAACGATGGACCGCTTCATATAAACGAAACATAAAGATGAATTGACCACAAATGTGTAGCAACTTCATGAGGGCTACACTAAGGAATTCCCATTTCTGTATCAGTGCAATTGAGCTAGCATAAGATTGAGGAGGATTCCAGGGATGAGTTTTTGAGACAGAGGTGGTGGGCTGAAAAAGGCCCTTAGGGTCTTTGCAATGCTAAATTCTGAGTAGAATTGTTGTAATTGCGGAAGCGTTTAATGATGAGTGTTGAACCACCTTGCGCTAGTATGCGAGGGCAAGAAAATTTGATTATAGCAAGGTAATACAAGTTTTTGTAAGATTACAAGGAATATGAAAGGATGCAATATCCGTTTTACTGTTGCTGTTGCGGTTCAATACAGTGACGACTCGGGCAACTGCTCAATAGCAAGTTAGTTGTTTGTCCTTGCTGTCGCGCTGTATTTGTCGAGTCAAAGGTTGCCTGTCCTTTGACCTTCGCGTAACCTCCAGCAATTAAGTTTTGTCAACCTCCTCGGTTGAATCGCACGTGTTTCGCTGTAGTTTGCTTCGTTTACTATTCAATGTTCCCTGTGTAGGCTATAGTGGGGTAGCCCGTATAGGGTACAACCGGAAGTTAGGGTTAGTACTTGTATTCATATTTCATTCAATGCAATCATTCCTGCTTGCTATCTTGACATGGTTTCAGAGCATTAGGTCCGTAGGACCGTTTTTTTTTTCGGGCCCACCATACTTAGCTTCCGAATGCGGTTACCGCGTTACCCCACTACTCTGCGTCGCGCTGCCCCGCGCACG